ACTGTACCAAAGCTGGTGAATTTAGTTGTTCCTTTCTGATATGGATCAAGATAAAATTTGGTCTTGGACCTTTTTATATCTCTTGCAGAAGTTATAAAGTAAAATCATCATGCATGTGAAATTACTACTGTATCTCCAACAGTCTGCTGTACTGGACATAAAACATCACTGTTTTATGGTTTAACCCGCATAATTACCCCAAACATCAAGAACAGACAGTAGGGTTTCTAGCGGCCCCACTGATTTTTATATTGTAGTGGCTATAGACATGTTGCCATGGAGCTGGCCAAATCAAATATTTCCTTTTACTGGAGGCAAGATTGAATACAAACCTTTGTACAGCTATTATGGAACAATGTAAGCATTAGTAACAATGGTTTGGTAGTGCCAAGAGAAATGGCAGCGTCTGAGTGTGCAATACATCACAGTAGCCCTGCAAGCGGCTTCTCTTGGGAAAGTGCAGCCTTTTGACATGTCTTTCCTTGATATCCATGTAAATAAATAAAAAAAATGTTGGACTACATTTGTTAACATTCTACAACTGATGACTTGAACATCCCCAAAGAGCTGCTGCTATAGAGATGTTTTGATCCACGTATCAAGGCAGGACACCCTGTCCTTTTATTTTAAAATCAGATTAACATGCATATTTTTATATGATCCCAATCAAAGGATCAATGAGTGCCCTTGTGCTTTAATGTATCTATATCCATTATGTTGTTCCCCTTAGTTCTGCAGCTGCTAATGAGGGGCCTTGTCTCACATGATGTAACGCCTCCATGTCTTTGAGATAATTCCATGTAATTTTGAGTATTTGTTTCAGCAGATTGTTACATTTCAACTGTGAAATGCAACCACCAAGAGTCTTGATATAAAAATAGATGTAATGCTTTTAATAAAAAATTATTTTCAACACCACATATATCTGCATGGGATGTCATGTGCTAATGTTCTTGCCTCAGTAGATGGTTTATCAAAGCACCCAAAACCATTAGTATTTCAAACAGAAATAAAATGCGAATGTAATACAGTAACATAAAACAAAATTAATGAATGCAATAAGGTAAAAATGAATATTTTACCACTTATGTTTGGACATAAAGCTCTTGGAATATATCATTTTACTTGATGTCATTATGTCATCTTATTGCTATTAAAGATGGAGAAAATGTGTCAAAAATATTAATAGTCAAGAAGTTATTCAATGATAACAATAATTTAATCAAACATATAATATGTGTATATAGAACCCTTAGCTATTATTGGCACCTTGTTAACAATCGAGGTCCTTTATGCAGTAAATTGTGGTCCCAGGGGCTTGGTGGCTCTCCAATATTCTATTCTATGCTGCTATTCTCTAATAGAAGTCTTTGAAGACTTGTATTCATCCCCTATTCTGTTCGCTGTTGTGATGGCAAGGTGGAAAAGCCTCGTTTGTCACAGTTCAGGCTGTTTAAACATTTTAGTTATCGCTCTATCTGTAGATATAGGAAAATGTCGGAGTTACTTTTCGTACAGCCTTTTCAGAATGTCTTTACCTTGAGGCTGATGCCTGTGGTACACTGTACTTGCCAGAAATTGTTTATTTATCATTTGAAAGTGTCTAATCCCACATAAGGTTTGACTGTTTAGCCACATTTTTGTCCTGTTCAGCATTTGGCACCAGAACTGAAATCTTCTTACCAAACTTTATGTGTGTCCAATAATGCCAAACCTGACAGAGGGACAGGGAAGAAAAAAGAACAAAGAGAAGCAAACCTGAAAAGGAGAAAGAGGAAAAGAAAGAGCAAAAACATACAACCAGTTTTACAGTTTTAAGATGAATGAAAAGAGTGTCTTGTCTGTCTCTTTATTATTTCCTTGTTTTCTTTTTTGTTTTTTTTATGCTTGCTGTTTGTTCATTCATCTTTACGTATGTGTGTTAATCCGACTTTGCTTCAGAAAGTTTTGTTTTTGTCTTTGGGGAATGTCTTTTCTGAATCTTGTGGGTGTTTTTTTCTGTACATTTTTTCTACCTGACTAATTCAATAGATAAATCAAGGACAAACACAAAAACATTCTTAAAAGAAATTAGTTGTGAATCAAAATGCAGATAAAGGAACATTCGGAAAAATACACAAGAATGCAGAGCTTTGGAGCATTTCGACATCTGCTTGCTTAGGGGCCTTCCCTGGTCCGCTGGTTATGCATTCATGCAGGCGTGTATGTGTGTTTTCTGCGTATGTGTGTGTGCTGTTTGTGTGCATGTGTTTGTCCAGGCGTTTGCACACCTGCACAGACTGAGTGGGTTGGCTCAGTGGGCTGGCGTGGATCTCCGTGGATCCCCCTCCAGGCCAGTTCTCTGTCAGGCCCTGCCAAGGTCAGCTGTCTGCCAGTGGGTGGGTGGGGGTGGGCGGTGTTTGCCAGTGGGGTGTGGAGTAGGGAGGGAGTACGCTTCAGCAGTATGGCCACTGGGGTCTCAGCACACGGTGTCCAACACCAACAGCAAACCTCACACTCATACCAGAATGTACAGCAGCAGAGACAAAGTGGAAAATAATGAATCATCCATAGACTAATTTTAAAGGTATAAGAGCACATTTCAAAGAAAGGAAAATGGTTTGGGTAATTAGAGACAGTAACTTAACCTCTAGAGATTGGGAGAATGAAAGGGTATAGGAAAGTAACATGGGGACCTGTGTTCACTCAGTATTGTGTCCATTTCCTAGATATCCATTACCTGGATCACTTTACTGGGTGGCTAGGCCCAGGGTGGGACCTGAGATACTGCAGGCATACCTGACAATCTTATTTACTTTCTCCCATCTTTTTACAACTATAAACTTGAATTTGGTTTTCTTGGATTTCATGACATTAAAGAAGAAAGTAGTGTATAATTATGATACTGGAGGAAAATGATACAAGTCCTCTTTTTCAGTCACGTAGGGAAATGACAGGTGAAAGCAATACTCTAGTCGGATAATACAAAAACTTTCAGCCTACTTTAAGAAGGTGTGGACATCACTCTGCATACACCGCTCCAATGGGAAATGTGGTATCATGTCAAGGAGATGCTTTTCTTCAGCAGGAATGGCAGAATCTTATCAGAGTTTAAGAAAAGATGGATGGAGCCAAGCAAAATTCTGAGTGAAAAAAAAGAAGCTGTGAGAGGTAGCAAGAACTTGAGACAATATAGAGGTTCACTTGGAACAGTTATGAGTGGACCACCATCTGTTCCAGTGGATACAGGATTACCTCTTTGGCCACCTGCTTAATTTGAGAACACTGGATTGTGGCTGACAGACAGGTCAGGTTTGCATTACAGGTAACTGGGTTGGCACTGATCCTCTTAACCTTCTCCACTGCAGACTTCTCCATCAACTCCCAAAACTGACATATTTTAAAGTTCTCAGATGACTCTGCCATAGTCAACCTCATCACAGATGAGAATGATTGAGTGAAAACAATAAATGCAAGACCTTGTAGACTGGTGCTCGCAGAACTACCAATGGCCTTTTTTTTTATTTTGTGGTTTCATCATTTTGTATGGTGTGGTATGATGGACTAGAAGGTAATATGCATTTTAAAGGAAGGTACTGGATAAGCTAATTAGGAAGGTCTGCTTTGTCCTACAAAGACAGGATATGTACCAACACTGCGTCCAGAAGATTCAGAGGAGCTGTTGGAAGTCAGAAGTTTTCCACTCCATGCATGAAGCTGTTACTTAACAGTAAAGCTCACTCAGTAAAATATTTCTGCACCCTAGATGCACAAAGGAGCACTACCACAGATCCTTCCTCCAGCTGCTGTAAGACTTTATAATCTTCACCACTCCCGCAAGGCCCAGTGAGTTTTAACTGCACAGTATCTATTTATTTGCACAGCTTTACGTGACATTTAGTCTTTTTTTTACCTGCTGCATTAGTTTTTCTCTTTTTAATTTAACCATTCTTTTTTTTTCATTATATCTGTAAAAGGGTTATTATTTGTTCTTTTTGAGCTTGAATTATTTTCATTTAACCAAAGCATAAGTTTTCCAGTAACTACAGTGTTCCCTCTGGATTTGTTTTCCTTTGTACTGCATTATTTTATTTAAAATTTAGTTCATTATTTTTTTGTGTGTGTGTTTTTATAGTTTTGTTTGTACAGAAATCATGTATTTTCTTTGCTTACGTGCTTTGCTCTTGACTTGCCTGACTTTTCCCACTGTGGAACAAAAAAGGGTATTCTATTCTATATTCATTCTATTCAGAAAATGAATCTTAAGCACAAGGCTAGAACTATAATGGAATAGTTTAGATCAAAGTAGGTTCATGTAATGGAAATATCCAGTTTGTGTCTAAAAATCTTTAAAGAAAAGAAAAAACATTTGAGACTTACCAACTAAAGTTCACTGATATTCTCCAATCAATCTCATAGAACTTGAGTTATGAAAAATGGAATGGGCAAAACTTTGATTGTCTAGATGAGCACCACCAGTTACGAATTTAAATACGACTTTCCTAATTTGTTACTTCTAAACTAAGTCTTTATGTCTTCATTGTCTGCAATGGATAGATTTCTCATAAAGAAATAGAAACCATATGAATTGTGTCGCAGCACAAAAGCAATTACCCACTGCCACTCCTCCGCACCCCCCCACTGCTGTCAAACCTGTCATTAACCCCAGTGTGTGCATCGATGTGAGTGTGTAACTAGCCGCCAGAGTCCTCAGCGTTACTGGTTGGTTGCTATTTTCCCAGCCTCCAGCTCTCTGGGTTTGTTGTAGAGGGACCTTGTGTTGTCCCCCTTGGTTGCAGGACCCCTCCCACTTCACCTCTTTTACCCCCCAACCCCCACCCCGCCCTACCTCACCTCCGCCCCCTCCACTCCCCTCTCAGGCGTTGGGTAGAGACAGAACAGCCAGTGCTCTCCAAACGCAAGGACAGAAGTTGCCAGCAGGTAGCCATGGCAACAGTTTCTCTCTCTCCCTCAAGTTCCCCGCTCACTAAAAGCGAGTGTGGAGAATCGCAGGGCCCCTCTCCTCCTTTTTTATTTTTTTTTTCTGCGCTCCCTCACAGCCCAAATTAGACGGGTCACAGTGTTTTTCTGGCACCCGTTTAAGTAATCATAGAGATGGATGTGCATAAAAAGAGATGGAAGAAGAAAGAGAGGTGAGGCGGGGGCAATCCAGGGAAATAGAATGGGGGTGTTAATCAAAAAGAGGCAGATTGCTGCACAACAAATGATTTTCTTTGCAGGCATAAGGCTCTGGTGGGCTGTAGACAAGGATACTTGAGATATGTGCCAGCCATGGTGTGGAACATATCAATCTACCGTGAGAGCAAGGAAGAAGTATGAGTAATTTCAACAGCTGAGTCTTGATGAGAGGATGGAAATGTCTGGCAAACACATCAGTTCTTTATTCCAAGGAAAATGGGATTGTGAAGGTTTGTTTCTAGATCTATCTTTAAAGAGGAATATGAGTAATTTGTGGCTGCTCAGGGCCCTCACCTGGCTTCTGAGTCCCAAGAGAATAACAATTTATGAGAATGACAACTTTGCAAATACACCAGTTGCACACATTGGAAAAACCTGCTAAGTTTTTTTTATAATTTGTTTTCCTGAATCGTTCGGGTATATTACTGATGGGGAACCAACTTCTGCAATATTCTAACTAATCATTTACTGATGACTTTAGAGTTTAAATGTCTCTGTTAACCTTTTCTTCATTTCTACTGGCCAACTCAGTTAATTATGCAGCACATATCTATTATTCCAGATAGGAGTTCGGTGTGGAGTAAAATTACGCATGTACATACATTTCCAGCACAACAACACTTGTTTGGGTAAGGAAGCTCACTTCATGGGGAGTTTATCAATGTAAACATTTACTTAAGAAAGGCTTTGAATGAACTTTGCTTTTATTTTGAAAGTCTTCGAATAAACTTCTGGTTCTCAAAGTGCAGGAGACCTCACAGTGCAGCTCTGTAGCCAGGGTCCTGACAGCGCAGCTCTGCAGCCAGACTATTTTTATAAAAGGACTGAAGTGATTACCATGTAACATGGTCAGTCATTGTTAAGTAACTACAGTAGTTAGCTGGTTAAAAACTGGACAAGAGCCCTAAAAGAAACTATGTCTGGGGACTAATTTAATTTTGAATCGCCTTTGCTCATGTTTTTATAAAATATAATAAAACAGAAGCTTTAATTACATGGCTGGAGTCTCATCTTTGACTCTATTTTTTCTCATCAATTAGTCTGTACAAATACCCAGTTACGGGTTATGAGTTTTTTCATTAAGCACATTGGCTAGTGCAGCAGCTTTATGTAGATCCTGGATGTCCTCCTGAACTTTTGTGTATCCTGGAAGAGGTGCTAATATTGTGAGCAAGAACTTGCATGATGGAAAACCCTGAAATGTTTTTCTTTCATCAGCTGCTGCCACGGGCTCGCTCGAGTTTATTAGTATTCCGGCCTTTTCAAAATAATTCAACACTGCTTATTTTCTACTTGATTTACTCAGCGCAAGCCTCCCTTCATCAGCCTAGAGTTCTGAAATGACGCCAAAATAAATTGGTTTCCTTTCTCTGCAAGATGTTGGTCTCAGAGAAGAACTTCAAGAACACAACCAGGGGATTACATCACTGCTAAACAATTTCTATTTTTATGTTGGCTGAAAGTTTTTCTTACTTCTAGGAATTTCCTAAACAGGTTAACGCTGAAAGATCAAGCACAGTGCTCCAAAAAATTAAATTAAAGTGTAGTCTTACACGCAGGGTAAAAACAGGGATTAAATATTCTAGGGGGATGTTGGAGAGCACGTTCGAAAGGATTAGGTGTCCTTGTATGGAAATCTTCTTCCAGGTCTCAGGCGACTGCATGTTGTTGACGTTTGGGGTGAAGCCCTGACATATTGAAATACCTCATATCTTAACAGTAACAAGAGTACAGCAAGTACCTTGCTTAATTGTTTTTTTTTTTTTTGTGTTTAGGTTTTTCTTTTTCAAACTTACCACTTGCTGTTTTGTTTTCTGTTTCTCAGTTTAAAAAAGATCTGTTCATACCTATTTGCATAAACTTGTAGATTTGTGGAGGGGTTAGAGCCCACCAATTAGTCCCCTAGTTTTAATTACCTGCCTGTTGATGTCTGGGACACTTTCCTTTTCTTTTCATGGCAGCTTTTTGTACAGTTTATCATCACCTCCTGCAGCCAAAAATCCTGCAACATTATGCTGCCTCATACTAAGCAGGTATAATATTCTTTAATTTTTTTTTTTTTACTCCGGATGGTCATGAAGCAAATTTTGGATCTTCTCTGAGCAAAAAACCAGATATGATACTGAAATTGGAAGGGGGCAGCTTCAGTACCAGTAAAAGTGACAGATTCTGCTTTGTTTGAATAAAAAAAACTTTTGTTTTGGAACCTAATGAAAATATGTTTTAGCTTCCACATACGTCTTACTACCCTAGAAACCCTGAGGAATAGCAATGTCTGCAGTAAAAATTTGCTTTATTTGGTTGTAAAGATGAAAATGGCAGTTCAACACATCTAGAACTCATATCATAGAAAATAAACATATAAACATAAACAACTATCCTGTTTGTATCTTTCAGAAGTATTAACAGCTTCGTCCCCAGAGCAGTGAAAGTGGTCAAAGACTCATTTCTCAACAGAACTTGCTCACATTCACCCTCCCCCTCCAATCACAGACTCTCACCTTCAGACACACCCACACACTTCCATCATCGCACATACACTCCTGAGTATCAAATTTGTAGACCATTACCCCCTTTCATAGACTGACTTGCACTAGCTGCACTTTTTTTTCAAAATACTTTACTTTTTTCTATGTACATATTATTTCTAATGAGAGTGTCTTATATTTTAAATTTTCTTTATTCTGCCTATTATGTATATGTTCCTTCTAAGTCCTTAGAAGGAACATATACATATGTTCCTATGTAATACAGAGTCCTTATGTTATGATGTCACATTAGTATATATATATATATATATATATATATATATATATATATATATATATATATATATATATATATATATATATATATATATATATATATATATATATATATATAATAACAATTATTATTAAAATATTTAAATTATTAAAATAGGAAATGTAAAAAAAAAAAAATTATGTCCAAGAGATTGACCCACACCTGGACAGTGAAAAATTCAAGTTTGTTACTTTACATTAGTTTCTAAATTTCTTTTTTCAAGGCTTTGTAGAAATAAATGACATCTTTACCAGAAAAATATAAGGTTTGGATGCCAAAAGAACCCCTTCCTGGAAATGAATCGTTAGAGGTCCCTCACACGATGTTCAGGTTCAACCATGATTCTCTTTTATGAAAACACTTCTGTCTGGTGTGTGTAGGGAAGGGGGTTTGTATCTGGTTGGGAATATGGACGTGTGCACATTCACAAGCTTGCTTGACTTCCCCTCATTGATACCAGATGGCCCTTCCCATCATGGCCAATAGAGGAATTCAGTTGGCAAGACCCCTTTTATTTCATGGTCAGTGTGTTGGTGTAGCTCTGTGTGTGTGTTTATCTGAAGCCCTCTTTTTCACCACACACTGACCTATTTGTATTCTGGGCAGAGCAGATGAGGCTCCAGGCCCACTGCCCTGCTCCCCTGTAGCCAGTCCCCTCGGGAGGGCATCTGTGGATCTGCACTGGGCAGATAGGGGCCGTCCCATCATGGCAACACTTTAAAGACCACCTCACTGGTCCAAGTAGAGTCAGTGTGTTCTGAACTTGTTGTGGAGGGCCTCTGTGCTTCTGAGATGTCTCTCTTTGTGTTTCTTTAAGCTGAGAAGTGTTGCTTCTGTTGTTTGATGACAAAAGAAAACACCGGATTCCTTTATGAAACAGAAAACCTATGATCAAGCCCTAATGATGCCTTCTAGTGACAATGATAAGTTCCTTATTAAGAATAAAAAAATAGTTAAAGCCTTGTCAGGCATGTTTTGTCTCTCCATATAAACAGATAGACAGGGACTCCTCTCCATCCTCTTTGGGCTGATACATGGTCAGCCTGTATATGTTGTGCAAGAGTCTCTGTCTGTGTGTTTCAATTCAAATTGAAATGGGCCTATTTGAAACTACCCAAGCATCTCTGATAGACCCCCTTATTTTTAACCTACATCCATTTACCCTGCAAACATTATTTGCTGATTTGCGGCCACACACATATGTTGTGAAATCCAAACACAAAGGTGTGTGTGTGGAGGTACGCACGCAGACGCGCAACGAGGAAGAGGTTGCTGAGCCATAAAGGAATGCAGGGCAGTATAATCACAGCATCATCAGCTCTGTCCTCTGAGAGAGAGGGCCAATAATGCCCCTCTAATTGAATAACTTATCCACAGCTATTTCCCAGGGGGGGCCGAGCTGCAAGGCACTGTCGCAGAGAGGGAGTAAGGGGGGCAGATGGCGCCTAGCAGAGCTGTGAGCATCCTTCAAGTGCTACAATGAAAGGTGGAGTTGAGCAAACACACATAATCACTTGGTACTGTGCAACCGTTCTCATATCAGGGGCTTTTCAGGTTTTCAGGATGAATGTTTTTAAGAAAATCAGGATCCTAAAAAGCTATACATGAACAAGAACACATCAGTCTGTGTTTATTGCTGTTTTTTAAATAACTCTAAGAGATTTGTAGTATTCCCAAACTTGATTGTAAAGCTAAATACCCTCTTAGACCCCACCAAAATCTGGCTCCCTTTTAAAGCAGCAGTTGCATCCCTAAAAGGAGTAATTCTACATTCTGTCTTTTATTTTTAGAACATGCATACTAGATAAAATAGAAATACGTTCTATGAAAGTAGGTGAACATATCTTTAAAGGCTGGACCAAAAATGTGACTAAACATTAATATTGTGCCAAAAGTCCACATGTGTAAAAAAAAAACTCATATCAGCAGTTTTATTTAAAACACACGTATACTACTACGTATGCACATTTTAATGTTCTATGACTGCAGATTTAATACTATGAGGCCCTAAATGTATCACAAAAATGAGTGTGTGCTGCTTTTCTGCACTCTAGGTTTGCTTTTTAAGCGCTAATAGATTCTCTCTTTGTTGCGTGTGGACCTGTTTCTGTGGGTTCATGTCAACTTTTGTCACTTTGAAGGCGTTACCCACTGGACAAAGTAACCAACCTGTAATTGGCTGCTTTTCAGGAAATCCTTCCTTTTGAGGCTGTACTCCTCTTCCTACTAGCGAGCAACTTCAGGCTAACCGCTTCTCTTAAAGAGTTGGAAGTTGGTCAGCAGAGTTCTCATTAAATATGGCATGCTCTGGATCAATATTATATTCTGATTGGCTGTAGCATGTCCGTTAAAAACGGTCAGAGGACATTGTCAAAAAGAAGTTCCTGTCAAATAACACAATAGTGTTTTTCTAGCTCAAACATTAGGTGGAAACGGGGAGATAGCTGGTTACCTTGGCAATGCTTAATAAGTCAAAATATGGGATTTTCTGAAAAGTAGCCAATCACAGGTGGGTTGCTGATTTATGTACTCAGAAACCAGGTCGTCTGCGTGTGTGTCACAGTGAATGTAAATATGCACCCGCCCATTCTGCAGACACTCAGCTGCACCTATCCAAAATTAGGTGACCGCAGACAGTGCCGCAGACAGGAGGCCTCTGATTGGTCAAATCTACATCTGATCTACATTAATATATTTCCTGTTTGGTACCTTACCAGCTTGTTTTGTCTGTATGACTGCCATTGTGGAAAAACGACTCATGAAGTTGGACCAGCTAGAAGAGTGAGGTGCATGAGAATGCTGGGACCCTTTTTCCACCTGGATCCCCGCTCTTTTTCAGCCTCATGTCCCTCCGTTGTCACACAAACTTACCCCCACTTCCTCACCACCTCCGCCGTATCTAGACCCACAGCTAACTCATGATTGTCCCTCTTGCGTTGTGGTGTGGAATAACATAGCGCAGACCACGCTTCAATATTGGGCATAAATCAAAAATATCTGCGACAAGCTCACTGCGACACACTGCTGCAGAAGTATAACCAGGCCTTAACACCTTCAAATTGACAACAGGAGGAAGGAAGCTGTGCATGCGTGTAAATAAAACCACACGTGCACAGAGAAGGAACTACTGTAGCACTCGCGTGTTATGTATTGGAGCCCGGTCGTATTCTATTTATGCATCTAACACGTTGAACATGCATTAAAAAAGTAGGAGTAGTTTATAAGTAAAAGTAAATAGGATTATTTACTGAGTATGTGCTTTTTTGGCAGCATCCTGACAGCATGCAATGAGAAAAAACAAATTGCTAAAAACCTGATTAATTCTGAAACATAGAGTTAAGAATAGTTTTTAATATTTTAAGATCAATTACCTGTGCAGTAAACTGATGGCCTGTACGTATTATAGTGCTTTTTCAAGCCAGGTTACCCCGCAGTACTTTACGCTATATTCAGTCATTCACACATTCAGATGCTGATGGTGGAAAGCTACATGGTAGTCACAGCTGCCCCGGGGCAGACTGAAAAAAGCAAGGTTGTCATAAATTTGGAACCACCACTCCCTCTGAAATGAAAAGACAATGCCGGAAAACAGAACAGCAGTAACGGATGGACGAGGAGCTTGAACTGGTGAAGAACTGGACATGCATTTATGTGAATGCATTTATGTCATTTACAGTTTTGAACTACAACATCCAATAGCAAATAAAGAAAAACAGTTTATAACCTTTTATAATTTTCATTTATGTAATTTAATATTGCAGCCAGTGTTATTCCCTCATTAAAGAAACACTGTGTAACTTTTAGCCTGTGGTAGACCTGTAGCCTACAGCTTTAGCCACCGTGTAGACCACCGTTAGGTTTCCTTTCTAATCCAACAAGCTGGGTCACCATTTTTTTGTTATATGAGGGGGATATTACTGTTTTTACAACCTTTATGTTGTTTGGAATAATTTTGATAATCATATCATAAACAATACCACACACTAACGCCAAATTGTGCCATATACCTCTACCATATCATGTTCTGATGACACGTTGACTTTTACCTATCTAAATGTCCAACCTTCTCTCCGCTGAGCTGAGTCTCATCAGTAGGCATGATCTCTACTTTGGTCAATACCTTTATGCCCAGAAGCTCACCAAAAGTCAATAGAATTTTTATTAGGAAACAATAATGGGGTTTTGGGGTGGATGTGAGGTAAAGAAAGAAAGAAGGTAAGATGTGTGGAGAGGTAGTACATTGATTTACCCTTCATAGTCCGTTGCACTACATTTACCCAGCAGAGTGCTCAAATTAGTGCCCTCCAGCTCTCTCCCAATTAGTTTCCACAGAGACGAGGTGTAAAGCCAGTCACTGGCCTCATTACCTCTCCTCTCTCCTCCTCGTACTGTGCTCCCCACCCCTTCCAAGCAACTAACTCAGCCTTACTCGCTCTCTTATTTTTTTTTTGTTTAGTTTCCCCCTCTCCACTTCAGCCTTTTGTGTTTTTTTTCCTCCCCTGTTCCAGTGCTCAGTCCCAAGCTTTTATTTGTGCTCGTTCACTCTGTCTCCATTACAACATATGTGTGTTTTCCTCCTGTTTAAAGTGCCAAACAGTCTGAGGAGAGTGCATTCATCTCCAGGAGCATGATGTGGGTTTGGCTGAAAGACTCTGCCACCTGATGAAGAATAGATGATGTTGTTCTTTTGTCACTGCAGCTCTCAGAACCTCTATAGCTCAGCAAAGTAAATTATACTGTGTAATCTTTTAAACCGACGTAAAATCTGTTCAGTGCATGGTCCCTTTAGACCTTCAGGTCCAACATAGACCAGAGCATATAGGTGCTCCTTAAACTCATCATTTAAATTATGAAGATAATTTTTAGCTCGACTATCCTTGTCCTTTTAAACTGACATTACTGGTTCTGTTTTTTTTTTTGTTTTTTTTTTTTTGTTGTTTTTGTTTAAGGATTCATAGGGCACTAAGAGAAGATTTCTATCTAACAAGCCTATTACTGCATGCTAGTCTAAAAAATTGTTTCCCCTTCTCTACCGATCACCATTCATGGCATGGCTGCCATATCCACAGGGCTATGTGTTGGTTGGAGTGTGTGTCTAAGTCTCTATGTCCTCGGATTTCAGGTTGTAACTGACTGTTGTCTTCTTACAGATGGGGCTCATCAACCCAGTCGGGGGAGCTTAAAGAGGTGTGGATTCCCAGAGGCAGATGTGATGAACTGGTTTATACTGTCAGGAACCCTCTAGGACCATCCACCATTACTCACCTGCCTGTCCACCCTCTGCAGCTCCAGTACCTTTCATATTGCCACCTAGAAGAAAGAAAAAAGACGCAGCATAGTGATCTCAGTTTCTGTGACTACACTGTACTGACCTTCCTTCCTTGCAACTCCTTCATATCTGTACCAATAAGTATCCTACCCATCATTACCTTTAAATCTGAACCATAACCCATTTATTATAATCACTTGCACATCTCTGTGGCATCCTGGATTTCACATATGAAATCAGAACAAAAAAACTTTAGTCCATTTGTAGCAATAAACTCTTTTTATCTTTAGTGTCAGTAAATCTTGGTTGTGCGAGTGTGAAAACAGCTACCTTTGTTTTTTAAGAAACAAATTTTAACAGCAAAACTAGACGAAGAAACTCTGACAATCTCATAGAACCTGTTTTAGCATTTTTGTTTGCGTTTGTTTGTTTTTATAGTGTTATATTGGGCTTTAAATGTGTGCCCGCAGAACTTTGTCAAACCAGAGCCAAAGTATAACTTCACATGATGCTCGACATTCCTCATTTTAGGGAAGAAAGTGTTTTATGTAAGAGTTGTCATAAAATACAATTTTATTCTTGTTATATTGGGGCCATATTCTCATAATATTACGACTTTATTCACATAATGTTGCAACTTTATTCTTTTAATTTTATTACTTTAATGTTGTAATGTCCCTAATTTATTATTGTAATTTTAAGACTTATTCTCGTAATGTTACACTTTTATTGTCGTTATTTTATCGCTTCATTCTCGTAATGTTACAACTTTATTCTCGCAATTTTATGACTTTATTCTCGTTGCGAATTTGTTCTTGTAATTTTATGATTTTATTCTCATAATATTACAACTTTATTCTCGAAATAAAATAAAAATCTCTAGCCTGGCCCTAATACTCCATCATACCACAAGGTGTTTGAAACACTCCTTTGATTGTGTTCCACACTGACATCCTGAATGTTCATAATGTCAATCTTCCATTCCCACCAACCTTAAAAATTGCTCCTTAAAATCAGTATATGGTAACTTTAAGGGGCATTGAATGTCATTCTGATAGAAGTACCAGCTGGAGGATGATTTACTCTATGGTCATAGAGATATTAATTAGGGTATCATATTTTCAGGCTGCAGAAATTGATGAACATGTACACCCTGCATGAGAAAATGTTCAATTCTTATTAAGTGCCCCAGTGTGAAAAGAAAATATCAATTTATCCTTATATACTAAGCTAAAAGCCAGAGCCTTTAGGTACTTCAGGAATGAAAAAATTATGTTCCTAATTTTTTTTTGTGGCTAAATTCTGAGCCTAAAATACAATAAACTGCATCTGAAATCAACTCTCACTGAACCAAGCAACTTGCCGGGGAGTCTGTTCCTAACTACTAAGCACTTAGTGTGGTAATCTGTTTCTTACGCCTATGGGCTCAATGGTTTAACATGTTTTTCATTCAAAGACGTTATTACTCATATCTTGCCTATAACAACTGCTTATTTAAGTAGTTGTTGTTGACTTTAATGTTAAACCAGCCTGCCCATTCCTTCCTGACCTCTAACCTTCACTGCATTTAAATGCCTAAATGCACTTAGCCAAACAACAAATTAAGAACTGGATCTTTGAAACTAAAAAGCAGGCAGCCTTGTGAGCTTTCTCCTGAGACTGGTCAAGAGAGCTGACTAGAGGGTTTAGCAAACTAAGCAGCTGCTTAGGATCGCCAAACCATTAGGAATCCCCCAAAGCACTTAAACATTCACACAGAAAACAAATGTCAAATTAAAAATATCTATATTTCAGTTTATGGAGAATTAGTCTTTTGTTTTCAAATTCAAGATCATGAACAGCAGATATATTATTTTGTATTTTATTAACTTAGTAACCAAGTTATTAAAAAAATTATACCATCTTTGTTTAGAAAAGAAAATGTGTAAAGTTTTAAAGTTATTTTGGTGATCATAATTATTTACTTCTACTAATGCACTCAGGTTTTTTTGCAGGTCCATTTAAAATATATAGAGATGTAAATTTTTGTTAATTTAAAGCTATACAACTGTAGAGTTTGATGGCAACAAATTACCACCTCAGAGAAACTACCTTATGTCCAGAGATGGCAAAAGTACTGACTTTCCCTACTTGAGTAAAAGTACAGATACTTGTGTTAAAAAATACTCTGGTAAAAGTGGAAGTACTGATTAAACTTCTTTACTCAAGTAAAAGTAACAAAGTACAGGCTTGTAAATTTACTCAAAGTATAAAAGTAAAAGTAGAAACCACTTTTTTCATGCCGTTGCCTACATTTTAAATGGATGTCTGCCAATAGGACTAGATCTCCATTGTGTTCATTTTCAATCATCTCGTCGTCCATGCTACTATGCTAACGCCACCGCCACCAAGCTGCAATGATTTGCCGCCAATGAATACCGCCGAATCTGTCGATTCATCTTGTAGCGGTGCGTCAAATGCAACGTAGATTCCCATCCAATTAGATTGAATTTGGTATTGATGACGTGAAAAATAATAACGGTAACTCCATTGAAATGATTCAAAACTAAAGTAACGAGACAATTTTTTAAAATGTAAGGAGTAGAAAGTACAGATATTTGTGTAAAAATGTAAGGAGTAGAAGTAAAAAGTCACCATAAAAATAAGTAGTAAAGTAAAGTAAAAATATCAGAAAAATCTACTTGAGTACAGTAACGAAGTATTTGTACTTCGTTACTTCCCATCTCTGCTTATGTCCACCTTTAATTTCCTGTTGTTCATTTAATAAGAAAAATAAATAAGTAAAACTTTGGTAATTAATGAAATTCCTTGTAGATTATTGGTAGTTTCAGTGTCTAGTGTCCAAGTTGGAAGGCCCACAGCTTCTGGTTTACCAGTTCTCTGCAGCCACTTCTTGTGATAAAGACTGAGTGGTTCAGCCTAGCTCAACAGAATCAGGGCTTTAGCCCAAATCGATAAAAATCCAATGCTGTCCACACCATCACATGCTTCATATCATATTTTTGCAGACCCATCTGTACAACTGAGATATAGATGGCCTGAATGTAGTTTCGTTCATGACCTGTGGACACCTGCTGTGTATACCTTGCCTGGGGATTAGACAGCAGCAGGATGCACTATGAGAGGATGACAGTTCTAGAGAGTATGTCTGAGTCTATAATTCAAACATGTTCTGCAGGAAAACCTTGGAAAATGTACAGGTGAGGTAAAAATGGGTAAATGCTTATGAGCTAGTTTAGGCGATCAAATAGAGCTTCATATGGGTTCCACAAATAATTTATCTCACCCACATCAAACATAACCCTCCAATCTGTGTTTTCTATTTAACTTGAATGTTTCCTCCCACATAACCTTCATGCTTTAACCTAGACACCTGGGACTGAAATAGGTTCATCACTTCAAAGCACGCTGAAAATCATGTTTAAAGAGTGAACCTTTCACCAGTTGTCTGACTGAACTAGATTTGTACACCTTTTTAAGATAGATTTTTACTGCAAATTCTAACAAAATGTTTTAAGATATTGAAAAGTAAGACCTGTTAATTTTATTTAGATGTGATATTAATAAGGTAGTGTGACGTGGTGGGAGGGGGGTCTGGCTACCTATAAAGATGGAGCCTTTATTGAAATGAGAATAAGTCTTATTTAGTGCCTGATAACATATACTTCATACTTAATGGAAAGCACATAGAGTGAATTTTTCCCAGAATGTAAGAACCCTGCACAATATTATACTATATGTTATAGCTGAGATTATCATTCCATTATTCTAACAAAGGAAGACTAAAAAGAAGACTATAAAGACTAAAAGTAAATGGAGAAAACCACTTTGACTTCATTGCATTACAACCAAATAGATCAATACATTTTTTTGAGAATTTTTTTTTTAAAGAAGATAATAAACCCATAGTATCTCTGAAGGAGCTGCAGAGTTTTGAAGGAGGTCACTCTTAAAATAGGAATTTTTTAGGATCCAACTGTTTTATTTTCTTCTCTACCTGCTTTTGTCAGCTTTTTTGTGGTCCAATTGTTTTATTTATTTTATAAATGTTTTTGCTTTTATTCTGCTTTTGTTTTTCATCTGTGTTGTCTAGTTCATGTAAAGCACCTTGAATTATCTAGTTGTGCATTCCACATATCCATGTGATGGAGCGTGTGAAGCTGAAGGCTATTGTTGAAAGAACTATTTTAAAATGTGTGGAAGAAGGTGGTCTGGTTTGTTGTGAAAACGTATACATTTTTGTACATCATATTGAAATGCCATACAATCGCGAAACAAGGTAGTAAGAGTATTATGCTGTGGGGCTTTTTGCCTTTTTGTTGGTATCATATGAGAAGCTGGGTGAAGCTAAACAGATAAAGGAAACCTGTTTGAAGAACATACAGCCAAAGCTACAGTGGAATGGTTAAGACCAAAGCATTTTTATATTGAGTGGCCAAGTTAAAATCTAGGCCGAAATATATATGTTTAATATGTGGCAAATTATATTTTATTTTAATTGGAAAATTCAAATCAAAAATTTTGCATCCATGAACTGAGCTTGATCTATAGAATAATCGCGAAACATTTATTCTTATAGATGTGTTAAGCTAGTAAAGACATATCCTGGCAAACTAGAGTCTTGAAAGGAGCCCAATTTGAAAAGTGGGATGAGGGCAGGACTGACGGAGTCATTGACAAACAGCTTAGATTGAAAAAAAAAAAAAACTGTTAAAGTAGCCAGTTGCTAAAATTTAATTTTAAAAATATACACATCTGCATCGGCACATAATACAGGGCAACAATGAAACCTTCCTACATTGCAGCTGCAATCTTGACTACTATGATTATAGAAGAGGGCTGTTGCATTTTGGGTAATTCTGGCACAAGCGTAATCTTCCACACCCTTGCTGTCTAAACATTATGAAAATGACTGGCCAGCCAGGTAAAGAGATACCCCAATGGAATTGCAATTAAAAAACTTATCTTAAAGATCTGAAACATAGCAGAACCTTATTTTTTTTTATTTTGATTTAAAAAAAACACACACAGACAAATGTGTATATTTGTATCTTCTACTTTACAATCATAATGATACTGCCCTGGTAAAATAGCTAGATGGTTGATTGAATATAAAAACCTCCAAGGCATTTGAGTATTTTTGCAAGCCTCTCTATGTCAGTACTTGGCACTAATAGATATTACTTATAAAAAAAATGGAGAAATTATCTTTGCGCAATCTGGATCAGAAATGTCTGATTTTCAGTGGAGTCTTAGCTATCTGAAGACTCCAGTGCTACCAACAGATTCTTTATCGATTACCTGTTTTTTTCACGTTTGCAGCACATTACCTATAGGAAGCAGAAATGTCTTTGTAATGCTGTTCAGACTCTGTGCAAACTGCATTTTGTCAGCAGTCTGGTTGAATTTTTCTACACTCTGAATGTTAGTGTGTGATACAGAGCAAATAAGAACAGAGAGAATAAACACTGACCACATGTGCATATTGAATAAATATGCAGCCAGGAACTCATAGTGTCATCTTCAATTTTTCACTCATATCTCCACATGTTACTGAGGTCAACAAAAGCTACATAGGAATAGAGC